TATATATACTATACATTGAAAATTCAGTAAATAATGTAGAAGAACTGGGATTTGATGAGATTTTACATTCATATAATATCTATACTACCAGAATGCAGAATTTTCTGCTACCAATTTTATACTATTTAAGTCCGAACTGTTTTATTAAGCTAGAATTATACTCCATATTTACACAATTACTCATTATATGGTAGTGAAAATAACTGAATGAAATATGGACCGAATATTATCTGATCAATCTTACCCACAACAAGACCTATACCGTACAACTTGATTTCAATCTACCCTTTATAACAATAAAAATATCGTGAGCCATACGATTTAGCATATTACCAGTAAACTGCTTCCTACCTCAAACAGTGACTTACTTACTCATAACGATGCATTCCCTCATTTCCTTGATGGATAGACAAGTTTATAATGAATACCTCATTTTGATCAGAAATACGGTTTTTTCGCTTCTCAAACTCAATTTTTTAATAAAAATCACTTATTTTTGGAGGACATTTTTAACAATAATTTTACCAATGCATCAAACTATCTTTTTGCAATACTATAAATAAAATGCACAAATAATATATTGAAGTACATAACATTGCTAATGTAGTGCAGATACAGATAACTGCTGGCATTTGAAAAATGAAGAGTTTTCCCACAGTACTTCAAAAGAACAACACATATCAAGCATCTTATCCCCTCTTAATACTATTCTAATCAACATCTCATTACCGTATGCTATTCTTCTGAAATTTATCTACTGCATTACTGCTATTGCAGCAGAATTCTCTTCTAAAAATCCTTCCAATTCAATTATGGAATATTTTCTAACGTGAGTAATGGCATTAATCACCCACAAATCCTTCTGATAAGAGAAATTTCTCGGAGAAATTATTCTGAGAGATACCGCCCGAACCATTTCTTAAGTATTTAACCGCTTTTTTCATCTTAACTATTCCTTTTGTTTCATCCCTTACCTTCAATTTCCTACATCAGCACTCATCTCTTCAAAGATCTTGACAGCTGATTCTCACATATATCAATCATTTCAGAAACAAGTTTTACTCTGACATATTCTTATTTCATGTACTAAAACTTAACAGTTTTGCATTTACAAACTAATTACTACTCATCGTAACATTTGTCTTTTCTGTCGTGCTTACTTTATTTCGCTTATATATACAATACATTATTTTTCAACAATAACCAAAAGTAAATACATGTTAACTGATAATTGATACATATGTTAACTGATAACTGATGCACATCAAGCATACATATGGAATCATGCACAATAAATACTAGTTGATTGCTAAATCTAAAAAATTTCAATAGATGTAGAAAAAACGGCCAACGTAAGATCAAACTAGTTAACAAGTGCCAGATCTCAGATATTAGATCCCGGTATGAACTCAGTCTTCATCTGACAAAATTGCAATAGCGCTTGCATGTACTTGCATAGCTTTAATTTTTTTTTCTGCCAATAACAATGTTTTAGAAAATGACTAACGTCCGTACACTCAACTTAGTACACTCTTAATCTCATTTAATACTTTATACTCTTCCTCACTTATCATAATAAAGAGGAAAATCTAATTCTCAAAACTTCTGAGCCAATTGAGCGCGAATGACAGCTAATTTGCAGTTAAAACTGTTAATAAAAGTGAGATGATACAGGCTGAAATGAGAAAAACACGTCTAAATTTAAATGTTACAGTTATTTTATTTGAGCTTGACAACAATATACAACAACAATACATGCCAAAGGTATTCAATAACTGTGTGTGGTGTAATATAGACATAATCAAAGGATAAAAAAATGTATTTTATGAGCTCCAACAGTTGAGTACTTTATTCAGTTCTACACAGCAACTATTCTATATTTTACTTTTGAAAACCTTAAACTCAAGCCGATTTCAACTTCATGTGTCTGCAACATATGACATTTCCTGAACTAAAATTAGTACGGAACAACAACTTCACTAGTCATTGAACAGGTTGGGAACGTCCATCCATTAGGAACAACTACCAACGTATACTCATTGAAAGAATACTATAAACTCAATTGCCTTAAAAATATGGAAAAATTGACTGAAAGCTTGAGACTTAAGATTATCAAAAATTAGACACAATAATATAGAAGCTTGAAGTAATTGCAACTTATAGAACACACCGAAACTGCAGTGATATAAGGAAGCAGATTTGCACATACAACAAGGATAAATCCACGTGATTTTCTTGCTGTAAAATGCAAATGTGAAATAATGCATTAAATTTTGAAAAAAGTACATAAGATATAAAAACAATCCTTTAAATACAGCATTATTCAGAGAGAGTACGAAATGAAATCACCAAGAGCTGTTATTAAGAATCAATTACACTAGTCTTAGGTTGATAGAACCGACGTTTAGTTTCCAGCAATACTAATTACGGAATATGTCCCACTAATAACAAACGTAGAATAAAAAAACCAACTGCAATTTTCAGTCTCAGAAGTAAACTCAACTAAAAGACTTTTCTTCAACCCTTGCCCATTGAAATCTTGAATCTTAATAATAGAAAAGGCATTTTTAATGCAAGAAGTTGCAGATACAATTCACACTGAAAAAAATCACCGTCTACAATCGACTTTCATCAAGGTAAAAAATAACATAAGCAGAAAAACAGCACTGGCAGTTCTTCTACATTCAAATTAGATAGAACTGAGTACAGAATTTTAAAAAAGCTAGTAAAATGAGTTGCAATAAAAATCATAATAAATGTTAATAAATACTCTAGATGAAATATTCTTTGTATAAAAATTACTTGATTATGATTTTTCTCAACCAATTATTTTCCGAAACCGAGCTACTTCTTATAAACATCATGAAGATTAATTTAAAACTTCTATTGATGTTTTAAATTCTGAAGCTTAGTAAACTGATTTGATTTTATTAATCATTTCTTGTTTGCTCGATTTCCCAATAAAGTGGATATGAAATCCCACAAACGTGATGATCGAGTGCTAGTTTGCGATCCACCTTGTTCTGCTTTCTGAACTTCAATGTTACCTTGCCTTGATTTTTCATCAATTTTTTCGGAAATGCCAGAACCATGATCTTAAAAAAAGTATAGATATCTGAAAAAATTTTTAGCCTATTTTGAAAAAATTATGAAAATTCAACATTATGCTAACTTAATACAATAAATGCTACAAAACCTTGAGAATCTGAAACTGATACAATCAGAAAGAAAAATATATTGCTATGAGAATAATATATCATTTATTAAAGACAAATTCCAATTAATAGCAAACCTTTATCTACTAAACTGTTCAAAGACATCTTAAATCTCTTTTGAACAGGTTCAGGAGGCAACGATGAGAAACGATGGGAAAAAGGATGACAACCACCAAGGATGAGATCGCGCGAAAAAGGATCATGCCTGAACAACTGATTTGTGGTCCGCAGAGCAGTAAGCATCAACGAAGGAGACAGAGCCGAAGCACTACCTTCAATCAACATTTGAATAGGAGTTTTTAACGACTAAGAAATATTAGAATAAATAATTGTTTAGTGGAACAGAAAATTATTTATGACAGTGAGTATAAAATCTTTTTCAGTTGCACATGATCCATGAACTCAACCACCGCGGTATAAAGAGAAATTATAAACTGTCTATAACCTTTGTTCATGGTTATAAACTGTGACAGCAACTTAATAATTAAGAAAATTTTACTCATTAGTCAAAACCAATCTCGAAAACTTCAAGAATTATAATACCAGGAACAGACTGTGAAGATATTAAATCCTGGAAACAGTTGCCATGAGTGTTCGAATGAGAATGATATCTGATGCTATGGCTATCACCTACTCTACTGTCATTCTTCACCTCATTTTGTTCTATTACATGCTTAAAATGCCTTGCTTGCGGTCTACGACAAGCCTTTAGCACAAGTCTTCCTTCTGAAAATTAATTTTTAGTATAAGCAAGACTAATTACAACAATTTAAGCAAGAAAAAATGAATTTTTAATTTAAGAAACAAAGGAACGAATGACTTTTTTGATTCCACGCAAAATCCGAGAAGTGGTAATAGAACTTAAGTATCTTTAAAAAATTTGATAATTATCAGTAAATTATATTTTGCCAATATGAATATAAGATTTACTTGTTGCTTCTGTGTTAATGTTGAGGGATTGATATAGAGGCGTTTCTAACTGCTCCTAAAAACTCTGCATTATATACAAGAGCAGTATCCAATCAAAATTAAACATAAAACGTTACCATGGTCTGTAATTTTTTTCATAGTAGCGTACCAATTATATTAAAACTTCAATTTAAAGTAGCTGAATGAAGAAAAAAACAAAAATACACTGATTAAAAAATTCCCAAAAAGTGTTTCATAATTTCTGAGTCACTATAAATAAAAGTAAACTAAGCAGTCAACTCACTGGAGTATTTGTATTTAGATTAGCAGGACGTTTCCGACATGTGCTTCCAACACCGACAGTAATACACTGAAACACTAATATTTATGGTATATTAATTTCCATTTCTTAAAATAATAACATTAAGAAAGTTATAACATTAAAAATATTTTTAAATATGAACATTTCTATAAAATATGAACAAAATATTTCCACGCAGTCATTCATATTCTAATCTACAGCAGAGAATTGAAACAAGTATAAATAAAAAAAAGAGATAATCAAGAAAGTATCACCTTTAACTGCATTACATTACTATTGGACTCACGATTCGATACGTATGTTCCTACTGCTTCTGTATGCTCACTTTGTCTGCCAAAACCCATACAGTTATCATTTCTATTGTGGATCAGCTCCTCTCGTACTATACTTTCATTACCACTATGTGGAATATTGCTACTGTAAAAATTTAAATTTTAATGAAAAAATGACAAATATTTGCAGTAGTTCTTACATCAAACCTAGATATAAATCATGACCTCATCATTTTGAATAATTAAATTCCAAAATCTGCCCTCGAAAAGGAAATCTGACCTGCAACAAAGAAGTACAAGATCCCGGGCTTCACAATTACTTCTGTGTTTAATAGACAATAATGAACAATGAAGATATAATAACACTCCCCAATGAAAACAAAAAAGATGTGTTGTATGAAAAACGTCTCAAGAGGAATTTTAAAAAGTAAAATTATAAGAATGATCATTTTACTTGATGGTATTTCTGTGCATTCCATCCATTCTCTCGAATATAACTCCAGAAACACATTCAGCAGGTACAACCTTAATTTTATCACTTGTGCCAAATAATTTACCAATACGACGAATAGCCGGAACACGATTTACCGAAGAAACTGGTAATATCGGCACATCAGAGAACTGCAAGATAGTTACAGGACGTTTTATATCACGAGCATAACCGGGTCCACGATAGGCGACAGCTAAAATGCACTTAATTAATTTAAGAATTTATTTTTAGAAAAAAAATACATTAATTAAAATTTATGCTGCACATTTTACACTTTATTCCATCTTCTTCGATTTACTAGATTTGATACTGAAACACTAAACGCTCATCATTTCAATTTTCTTATAATAGTGCCAAAAAAAATCAAAACTTGTTTCTTAAACATTTTATCAAAATTTCTAATTATTGTCTTAAACAAATTAACAACAGCAGTGTCAACCTGTGGTAAAATTAGGATCCACAACACCCGCATAAAATAAATCGACATCCAACGTTTCTATTTGTTTACAGTACGATGGTCCGATGAGAGCTGTTGAAGTCTCTAAGTTTGTAAGGGCTTCATCCAGGCATAAATTTACGTCATCAGTCAGCACGAGTTCATCACAAACATCTATACACTCTTTTTCAAAACAAACCTGAAAAATTCAAAGTTGTTGCTAGCTCTCAATTTTAATCATAAAAACAACTTATTAATACATGTAATAATCAATGTCCCGATGATTTATCACGCAAAAATTATACTTATTACCTACAGACATGTGAAAATAATGTAGATTTCTTGAACTATTAATGTACAAAATTTTCATACGCCCATAGACTTCTCATCTGAAAAATAGTGAGCTATTTTCCAATGGTTTTACATTATAGTCCTATTGACTTAATAATCGGGAAAGGGCATTGGTCAAGAGTGTACTTCAGAAATTTGGCTCTTCTAATGACTTACCAGAGAGAAAATATTGGAAGAGTTATACTAGAAAAAATGCACAAAGATTATACCGTTATTACAGATATGTTGTCAGCACGAGACAATCCCCAACCTTCCAGTGCATGGCGCAGTATCCATCGTGAATGATTTGGTGGTTTGCAGCGCTGAAGAAATAGAAATGAGGAAGGACTCTTCAAGTTAAAACTGCTGAAAACACCATTGTATTTTTGTGTCATACTATCACGATATCAGTATTAGTTCCTACTTCAAAATGATTTTGTTAAAATAATCATAAAATGTTCGGAGAAACACTTAAACAAATCCTTTCAATGACCTACTTTATTAATTGACATTTTTTCGTAATGCAATACAATATCGACAACTTGCTGTGGTTTCAAAACATTGGTTAGTCCATCTGAGCCAAGAACCAAACAATACTGATTATCGTTAAGGTCGTGCACGGCAACATCTGGTTCGGGGCTTACTATGAACTGTTTAGTTTCTTCATTGTATGACCATAAATCTCCTGAAAATCTCCCAAAGATACTAAAGAATGTCAAATAAAGAATTACAAAATAAAATAAAATAAAAAATCTTTCAATCTCGAATAAGAGAAGATCTCTCTAGCACTTTATAACTTTTACTTACCCAAAGCGCGAGCGACAGCAAGAAATGCAATATTCTCTGTTGGTGTAGACCTGTGTATAGGACCAATGTGACCTCGTAATGGCCTTGTCCAAACGACACGCGTAACACCTGACTTTTTCATTACAGAGCCTCCAGCATTACTGATTCGTTTTTCTTCGATGGAATTATCGGGTTTATGATCAGTTGTTAAACTAGCTGCTTTTAATTCACCATCTAAAATTTGCGGTTTGTTAGAATATCTCATAAATTTGAAGATTAAGTTTTATTTTTCTTGATAAAAAGTATAATTTCCTTCCATAGTATCAGCAGCTTTGAACTTAATAATAAAAGATATTAACGAACTATATTTTTCTCCTAATATGATTGCCGAGTCACCAACGTGTCCAGTGAATATCTTGCTACGTCGAATGAATGCACAAGTGGCAGTAGTACCTGCTGTGCTAGTATATCCAGATGAAGTAAGAGGCCACTCATCTATAAGCTACACTTTATATTAGTTTTCATGAATTTGAATATTGAGCGGACAAAAATGATAAGGAGTTAAAAAATTTCAAAGGACCGTTTTAATAAAAGAGTGATGTTCAATGCCTACCTACAACTTTCCACATTGCAAGATGAGTTTCAATAAAACCCTTTTTTATAGCATCTAACATTTCCTCATCGCTGCCATTAAAACCTGGCTGCAACTGAATATTTTTCAGAAGATGTTTCCTAACATAATCACTAGCTTCTGAACCACCATGTCCATCATAAACAGCAAAATAAAAATAATCAACACTTCCATCTGGCAGTCGAACACAATCGATATGCACACGGTCCTCCATATACTTTCTTCCACCCTAGAAAATTAGATCTACAGACCAACTTCTAGTTTCAAAACATGCAAAAGAACAAACGACACATATTATACTCTTCTCCATGACTTGTCGTGCTCTTTGAAACAAATAACATACTTTTTCTCATGAAATAGATGTCGTTTGTAACTAAATCTTTACATCTCTTCACAAGAATATTAATGCTTAAAAATTAAAAATTATAAACAATGCTCACGTTTTAGAATTGAAATACATCTGATGAATGTTTTACAATATTAATGGTGTTGAAAGAAAAAACACCAAAAAATAATAGGCATACCTGACTTGCAGCAACATTTACTCGCAAGTGTTGGCCATGCATTCTGATATTTGAAGATGAGGATGTTGTCATTTCCAACCTTATCTTAAAAATACGACTTTTGACTATTATTTTTAACAAGACATCACACCACGTCACTAGTTCATACACTTCGGACAAATGTCACATATTTAATAAATATCGGCACACATATTTGATTTACTCACAAACATGTTGAAGATTCAAGCGATATTAGACTATAAAATCAAATTTCGAAAGCAAATACATCAGAAAGAAATTTTTACTTGGCTATTTTTAAATGATTAAAATTTAACTCTATACAAATATCAGGCTTACTACAGAAGTACTTTGACTTGAATTTTCCTCTAGTCTATTTATTAGTGGTTTATAAAACTTCAATTATATTATAAAATTTTCATCCCAAAAAATCAATACTTCAGAACAAAAGTTCTTACATGAGAAAGAAGTCTGTCTAAAATGATTTTCAAATTGCTTTGTTGAAACATGCTACTTTGAGGTAACATTTGAAAATTCAATATTCATTTCTGGCCTCAACTCTTTTGTTTTTCACATTCGTATTTAAATATGCAAAACTATGTACTGCAGCCTTATATTAGCAACCGGATTTATAGTTTCGAGACCAGAACCATGCGCTAAAGCTGCATGTAGATCTAATAACAGGCATCATAAACTCTTGAGTGATAAATCTTTACCACCCCAAATGTAATCTGTCTCAATATCTTGCACCGACTGATTTTACTGTTCTTGTGAAAATAAATTATGAAATGTAAAACTGCTAAAAGATTTTTTAGAATAAAAATAGCAATAATATGATTCAATTATAATAAGCACAAGAAAATCTAAAAGTTCTGAAATTAAACTATGCATAATACAATTTTCAATCAAAAGAAACGAATCCTTCGTTTTGCGCCATCAGTTAGAAACAGTTACAATTCCGTACTATAATTTCACTCATCTATTTAAAAAAGTGACCCGAAAAAAGTAAATACTTATAAAAGTAACTCAAGATGTAAAAGATGTTAAAAAAGATTGAAAATGCCATGACCTTGCCATGGATACTTCCATTAAGCTTGAGAGTGCAATAGCTTGAAAATCAAATCTGACATTACTGCAAGTACCTCTATCATTACATATAAAACTAATTGATAACGAAGTAATCTAAACTGAAGTAATCAACCAAATTTAATCTGCACTTACATCAATTCCTTCGACTCATTAACTGTCACAAGTCAGTCACTGAAATGGATGTAAAGCTGCTAGATCTTTTAGCATAAAGACAACATGAAAAAGAATGATAAGAAGAGAAAAAGTGTGTAGCGAAGAGCCAATATGAAATTGTTCACACAGATAAGATTTAGAAGGTTTTTGTCTGTCTTCCTGTAATAGAAGTCAACGTTAATAATAGAGAGAGAAGAAGAAAAAGGAAAAAGTAAGAGTACGTAATAATAAAATGATATGAGACGAAAAAGAATTTGTGTCTAATTGTAATTTGTTTGTCTGCTCTAGCTGTTTTTTCACTTTAAGAACTGATCACTCAATATCCTTTATTTTCTCTATTTTCTTGTATGACAAACGTATTTTTTCTTTTTATGACTATTTCTCTTCAAATTACTGTGCACTTTTATATCTTTACTTGTCAAACTTGATTCAGCTTTATGGAGTTATATTTGAAAACATGAAATCACTAATCGCTTTAAATACTACAAAATCCGGTATTGTTGTGAATTCTAGTACTAAAACAGAATGCAATAAGGTGTTTAAAATGTACATTATCCATTGAAATTGATACTTTGTTGTCTTCTTTGTATCAAAAAGTTTGAATTCTAAGAATAAAAAAAAATCAGTTCTGGTTGATGCAAAGGGGCATGGTGCATCATGTACTGAACTACAAACAAAAATGTTGATATATTTTAAATAAACGATTAGGACTGTTGTAAATTTGAGCTAGCAGCTAACTTTCGTACGTCATAGCAATCTTATGTTATTCATAAATTTGTTCAATAGAACTTGTTGTGTCTTTTAGTAGTTTCAAGTAATTTCAGGTTAATTTTCAGGAATGACTACTGATAAATTACCAGACCTTGTAATGGAAATTATTTTTTCTTATTTGAATCAGTACGATGATCTTGACAATGTCCGGTTGGTTAATCGTCAATGGTGTCGCATTGCATGCACTGTTATTCGCATTTTCAAGAAATCTTTTCTTCGTTGCAATCAGATGACATGGTTAGATTCTTAATCAGTCCTTTGAAGCAATATTATCTGTATGAATTTTTTATGGAAATTATCTTACAATCTTTCAATTTCATGTCGTAATGTTTCTTATTTTGCCATCCTGCATTATTTTCTCCGAAGTAATGTGAAAAACTATAGTTACTAATCTTTCTATCGTCAACGTGTGGCATAAAAGTATGTGCTCTATTTAAAAAGCAATCATTCAAGAATTATATTTCATTCTAAACGATAATTGAAAGATGAAATATATATGTAACAAGTACTTTCAGGGAGCTACAGAAAACTGTAGAAAACGAAGATGAAAGTATTATTGCCAAACGGTGCTCCCACGCAAGTTGTTATCACGATGGATCTAAAAAACTGTACATATTCGGTGGATGTACCGATAATTATACCGCTTTTAACGATCTCTGGAGCTTTGATTTGGTACTCCGGCATTTATTGCTCAGAATTTGACCAAAAATTTTACTATATATGGTTCTGGATTGTGGAGGCATGATTCATGATGTGTCTGTTTTATATGAAGTGATTTTCATATATGTTAAATTGCAAGTCTTTGACAAAATGTTACTTTAGAAATCACGAAAATGGTCCAGAGAATTTATCAAATGCGCACCGTTTCCGCGACCCAAGGCGATGTCTATTTTTGTACCTTACAAGGAGTATCTTATTCTTCATGGTGGGTTTTCAAAATCTTCACCCAATCCAATTCATCAAGCTGCTAATTTTTACAATGAAATGCACATGTATGATACCAAAACAAGCGAATGGGTTGAGGTAAAATAATTTGTAAATTTTACCTTAAACATCAGTGCACGGAAACAATCATTGGAATGCTATAGTTTTTTGTATTTTAAAAACATTCTTAATTTTATAAATATATTTCAAAACACTTTATTCTAATGTAGATTTATCAAATTTATTGGTCATTTTTCAGTTTGAAACAGAACCTTCACCTCCTATGATTGCAAGCCATTGTGCCTGTGTCGTAGACGATTTCTTGGTGATTTTCGGTGGTTCTCATAACAGCCGTGCTACCAATTCCGTTTATGTTTTGGATATTGTCAGTAAAACTTGGCATATTCCATCTATTGCTAAGTGAATTTTTCTGAAGTTTTGTAGTACAAACACTTATGACTAACATTCTTTAGAATCCATTATTCTTCAGTATTATTGCATTATTAAAAGTCTGTATTATTTTTTCATAAAGTTACCACCTCATTGACTTAAAAAGTTGAAATAACAAAATTTTGAGTTCTAGAAGATCAAACTTGATAGCAGAGCTCTCTTCACATTTATTAGAACCAGCTCCTCGTTATGGTAGCTCATGTGTGCTCATTGACAAGTCACATCTGCTTGTGATTGGCGGCTGTGGTGGTCCAAACTGTATTTACAATGATGCGTGGCTTCTAAAATTCGATTTGACGTTGTGCACTGCATGGGAATGGAAACAAGTTACTGTTAGTTTTATGCGGCCTCTTTTTGAGAATTTGGTGATAAGTTTGGAATTGAAAAATAGAGCAGTGTTAGACATTCTCATGTTCTGCTCTAATATTTTAGAACATTTAAAAATATCATCTCTTATAATTCAAGTATTCACTTGTATTCATTGTGTTAAAACTTTATACAATGCAGTAGTTCGAGCATATTAAATTCAAGTTTTATATGTCCAATTTTATTCTGAAAATATTTAGCGATTACAGATAACAAATCCTAAATCAGGTCCATCTCAGCTTTGGTGTCATCCAGCATGTCCAGTCGGACAAAATCTTGCATGTATAAGTTATGCAAAAAAACAAAACAAGTGGGAAATCTTTATATGCTTTTGCTTTACACTTCATTAAGATTTTTTAATCATTAATATAGAAAGCTTATTAATACTTTATATTTTCACCTTTTTCTTTTTTACATTTAAAAGGCTATTTTTTTTCCTATCATCATGTGAATATGAAATGTTAAAAATAAGCTTGTTGCAGATATAAAGCAGTCAGTCTCGATTTATGTTCAGCACCATTCCATATAACTTCAAGAAATCCAATGCGTGCCGTAAGAGATTTTTTTTCAAACCATAAATCTAGAATTGCGGAATATGTTCAAATAAAAGATGTAACTTCCCTTATTTCAGCTTCCACGTTCAATAATTACTGGTTCACCATCTGTGTCTAGAAGGTTATTTTTTTTATTTGAAGCTAATCTTTGAATACAGGAGTAATTGTAAGAAAAAATATCTATAGTTCGAAAACTAGATTTCATGAAATTTTAGACTACTCTCCTCATTTATTTTTTAAGCACATTCTAGTTTTATTTCTATCGATCGTTTTAAAAACCATTTATACAAATGAGTTTCAGAATTTTTTAAATTTTCTTTTTTAAAATATTAATACAAACAAAGGATGCGCTTAACTGATTAATACATTTGCTTATCAGTTTTTAGAATTTTTTCACCTGACATTTTTCTAAAATTGGTTCTTCAGTATGAATTACCAGTCCTCTACTAATTTCGGAAGTCTGTTCCTTGATTTTAGCAGTCGCCAGCGTGGCAATGGTGTATCTCATGAAATACAGAATTGTTCACAAAATGAGTTTTTTATCAAATTTCTAACGGGAAAATATATATCTTGAGCCATTATTTTGTTTATCTGTCTGGACCAGCACCAGCTCTTGTTTTTAAACTATCTTAATACGTTTTTCCTTTCCTACTACAGACGCAGCAAATTTATTCAGAATTGTCCTTTAATCCTTATAGCAGTTCGAACTTTCCTTTAAAAATACTGGTGTTTCTGTTTCTCTTGAGCATATGATATTCATGACTATTCGTAAAAGATTTTGCAAGATTTCATGATTATTCATTTGTTACGCTTAATCTGATTCTGTCTTTTAATGACATTAATATGGAAATATCTTATATGTTTGATATTTATTAATTTTAGGACTCTTGCGTTGTAAAAAGCGTCCAGGAACTGCTTGTGTTTATGTACTCAACACTGCTAAAGTCTTGGAGGATCAGACAGTGACGTGAGTTTATTTAAGCTCTTAAGTTTCTTTGAGTACAATATGTAGTGAAGAAAATAAGGTGTAAAAATCTAAGAACTTGAATTGATATTTTGCAAGGTTTATCGTGTGTATCAGCTAAGGAATTAGAATAGTTAAAGCATAACTTAAGTTGGTCTGTTTGAATGTTGAAACAAGTACTATTTAGTAGGTACTGAACCACTGAGCATTCAAAACCATATAATTTTATATTTGAAAATATTCAGTTTAATAGATCACAGGAAGGTTGATTTTTTAGAAGAATTGCTTGGTTTTGATTTTCGTGCTGTTTTCCAGAAAGTTAAATATCATCATGTATGGACTGAGGTAAATATAAATATTTTAGATGGTTGCAGCAAGATATTGATTTGAATGCACCTGATGACACAATGCTTTACTCATTATCAGCTGGCCGTGGAGAACTAATAATGTTCGGCGGAATGCGTAGCGATATGCGAGATGATGGTTCTAATCCATTTGTTCATATAATTACCAACGATGTATATATTTTAAGACCGTTCCGATCAGTCTAATGTTTCGCATTTGATTATATTATCATTTCTTTCAGTTTATGTATTATTTTTGGAATCGAACGTTGCACATTTTTATGTATCATATTACTGACTTTTATGCAATCATTATGATGTTTGCATGTAGTGTACAAATTTTTTCAAATGATGGATTTTAAATCGTTTTTATGCGACAGTGCCATGTTGTGTCTAATATGATGTTGAAAAATATAATAAGGGAATCATTCAACAAAATAGCGTTATTATTCATCACATGAGGAATCGTATACCTCGGAATAGTGTAAATATGGTTTTTGTAATCATGAACCTTAATTTACTTGTCATTTCCTAGATTTTATTGTTGTCTGTGTGTATTTTATTTTTTTTACTTGATACCTATATCTATTTATTAATTACTCATTTTCCTTTCAAGAAAATATCGCAGGTTGCCTACTTAAGGTTGCATTTTTTCAAATAATAGCTTGTGTATGTGTAAAGTTTTAAGCTTTTTTGTCCAATTTTTTTGGGTAGCATTGAAGAATTGTATTCGAAAGTTTTTACCACATCTTCATGTCATTTGTGGGGAAATGTGCTTTCATCATTTTGATTGGATTGATAAGTTCGAGCTTAAAAATGGATTTGATTTTGTCCTACTACTGCTTTAGTTTATTTGTTATCATGTGTATATATTGTATTTTTCAGTGTATATGCAGTCAAAGTAAACAGTATTTTCAGTGTAGTAGACACACACTTTGGTGAATTCATAGTATTTCTTGAAATCTAATTCCACAGTGCAACGACATAAAGTATCATTATTGGGAAGATTATGCATCTGAGAATTGTCCTATTGATGCATGGGTGTATTTAGAATTGTTAGGAGTGAGTTAAGGTTGCATCACATGAATCTTCTGAAAATCTAAAATATTCAAAGGTTTGTTTGCAGGATGTTTTGATTACACGAATTCGTATGTACATTTGGAGGGTGAATATTGTGAATGGGCGTTGTGGCTGAAAACTCGTGCTGTGCCATATAGGAAAGAGTTTATCAAATGATAATGTCTAGTTCTTAAACACGTGTATGCAATGCCATAGTTGTGTAGGAATTTTATGTAATGTATGGTATATGTTGCAAATTCTGTAGTTGTAGAGATTGCAGAAGCTTACGCAGCTGGAAATCTGAGGATAATCATTTCAATAAAGGCTTCGTTATGGTTTGTTTTTGTGAAGAAATTGTTAGTTGCTTTTTATTATGTCAAGAATAAGCTAAGTTATTTGGACTATATTCCAGTTTGATTCAATTTTGGGTTATCAAATTATTCATTTCACGCGAATAATGCTTGAAAAAGGTGCAGTCCATTTTAGAACTCATATATTACAGCAAATATTAGTAATGCATAATATAAAAATACAAGCATTGATTCTTACGTTACGTATTATTAACGTTTTGTGATGGGAAAAAAGAACCGCAGTGATGATAAGGTGATGAATAAAGTGTTTGTCTCTGATAAAAGTTCCAAAGTTCTCAAACTTTTAAATAAACGTTATTTATTTCAGGCTGGTGAATTGAAAATATGTGCAATGTCGACTGAATTGAGTGATGAATTGAAACGATTTCGATTCAGCAAGAAGCGTTCAACGAATGCATTGATATGTTATTTTCCTCAGCATTATTTCTGTTTCTAATATTAATTGTTAATTCCAAACAGTACAGCATTAGCACTGACAGTACAGTAACATTGATAGTTTTTGTTAATGTATTATTAATTTGCAGTGAAAATAGATTCAGTGAAGCAGCTTATCGCGTTGGATAAGAAACTTGAAGTATTTTGTTTTATTTCACTTTTGAAATTTAAATTTAAATACAGTTTTCTTAAATATACTTAAATTTTTTGAGTACTGACTGCAAGTTTATGATGATATTTTGAAGGACTGTACTCCAGAGGAGATTAGGAATGAACTACCATCTCAGCAACCACGATATGTTGTAATTAGCTATGAGCACACTCATGATGATGGTCGCCTATCATATCCATTATATCTTGTTCTTTACAGTCCCTCAGGTTAGCCTTGCACCAACATCGAAAAAAAACTCACAATTACTGTTGATAATTTCTCAACACTGCACCCAAGAGGAGATATTTTTTCAACATCTATGAACTCTTGGTGCTGTCATATTTTTCTTACAGTATTTTTGTGGAATTGAAATTTGCTGATGCAATTACCAGTGTTTCAGGTTGTAATCCCCGGTTGCAAATGATGTATGCTGGTAGCAGAAATAGCCTTGCCAAGGAGTGTGGACTTAATAAAGTATTTTATCACTTACTAATTATTTTCATAATATTGCTAACGAATATTTGCTGAATAGATGTTACTTATAGGAGAATAGGAGGGTTTCTATAATGATTATCCAAAAGTTTTGTACATAAGTTGGTCGTAGGTCGTAGTTTCCTTTCTTTGTGTCCACTATAACAGAGTATTAAGATTTATAATTCGTATATTTTTCAGAACTTCGAAATTCGAGAAGCAGATGAATTAACAAAAGAGTTGCTGGAATCGAGAATGTAATTGTCGTTCTGCAATTTGAATCGGAAACCATAATTGATTGCTTACAGAAAGAAAAAAACTGATCGATTGTTTACTAAGTTAAGTAAATACGAAGTGTGCTATTCTGAATAATTAAAAGTATTTACTCGATAAAAATGGCTGAATAAGTGTTAGTTGCGTCATTTGTTCGCAGACAGTACAGAAATCCTCAGCTTCAGTATTACCTTTGTGTCTGTACTCAAACAGCTGAGCAGACGTAATAGGAGAGGAGATATGTGTGTACGAGCAGAGCTCTTTCTTCTTTGCATTCTCCTTCTGTCATCGCTATTGGCGATGCATTGATGAGAGATGAGAAAGGCTCGAAGTGAAACGCAATTCGACGCTCTGTTTGTGAATCAATCCTGCGGGGGCACGCATCAAAATTTGCTTTTGCTTTGCTTTTGAACACTTTCTCTGAATATTTCAAATTTGCTTCACTCTGCGTTGTTTTACGAAAATCTAAATTTCAAATTTAATTTTTTATTGTAAAAAAATAAAAAATCTAATGACTCATTCAATAGTCTTATTACATATCATCTCTATTAGAATTTCTGTTATCACTTCTATTATTTTTATCATTATAATATTATTGTTATCATTATTATTTCCATTATCACTTTTATTGTTTCTATTATTATTATTGATGTCCATATAAATGACACAGAGTAACTGCAATCACTAGGAAAAGGAGCTATGGTCACAGAAGTGTTTTGGTGACCTTCGAATAAATAATATAGAGTTGTGGTAATGTAGCTTTGACCTTTGACCAAACTGAAAATTAGACTATTGATAAAAATCAGTCTGTCGTATTGCTGACCGAGAGAGAATTTAATTATTATACTTTGAATGCATGCTGCTGTAATCCTAATGCGTTTAGAAAGTATACAAATAGTGTGTTTGAATGGCATTTGAATGTTAAAAATTAAAAATTTATATCTACAGGACTTTTGTGATCCACGTGGCGTCAGTGGTGTAATGGTTAGCATGGTTGCCTTCCAAGCAATCGACGGGGGTTCGATTCCCCCCTGACGCACGTCAACTTTTACTCAGTTGAGCATGACATATTTTTGATAAAATACGAATAGCTAGCTACTGTCGTGTAATGTGTTGAGGGGCATTTGAATTCATACTACTTCTTTATTGCTCAACGGACTAATGATGACTGTTTATTGGTTGCTTTGGGTTCACAAGGGTGGAGTTTCTTTGCCCTCTTATATTAACTGGGGTCATTCTTGTGGTCACTATTGGTGTCTTGTTCTTTATTCTAGATCCATCTGCAGTTATTGATCACATTTATTCATTGCAACACTTTCCAGCAACTCTAGAATAGCTCATTCTATTGTTTGTAGTTATTTTTAAAAAGTACTTTGCTGATGTAATTTAGCAAGTATCATATACTGTGTACTATTGTTCATAGCCGATAAATAGTAGCTTTTTGACTTGCAATACTTTTGTATAAAACTGTTTAAATCTGCTCTGCTGAATTCAGTAAACAAGTAAGAATCTATTCTCTAACAAAACTTTTCCTCGTGAACTTTCCTCTCGTCGTTGCAGTAATATTTTTGATGCATTTGATTATCACCCAAGAGCTTCTTGTCTAGTATTGTGGTTTGTGCTGAGTCTAAATCTCATCTTGTATGCTGATTCTTGCTTGATTAGAGTGATTTTTTGCATGTGAGAAGCAGTTTTTGTTCTACTCTTAACCGAAGAATGGTAGCACAAATCTGAACATCATTGCTGTAGTAAGTCAGCTAAGTCATTGCTAATTGTTGCTTTTATTAAATTTTGCTATCACTTCAACCTTTTTACCCTCAGAAATCCGCTATTTGTGCTACTCACGTATGCTTTTGTTTATTTATTCATTTATGACAGACGTAAGAAATTCAGTCCCGCTGACTTTGACATCACTTCTTCATAATCTATCATAAATTTCAATTTTTGTTTGAAATTCTTACCAAATTTTCATTATATATAAATGCAATAAAGCTTGTACATTGTAATGTGTCTTACAAACTATAATATGTCTTTTAAGCAAAAATACTTTTGCTTCAAAATGGGAATAATTATTAAAATAATAATTTACAATGTGAATTTTTAAACAATTATACTTTGCAATTATTAGAATAATAATTTACAATGTTGTTAGTTAATTATAATAATAATTATTATTATAAAAATCGAATAGGGAAATTCATTTTGCTTCGAAATATTAATGAAATTATTACAGGTGTGTACTTAAGATCGAGCTTTAATTACGTATCAATAACAGAAGACCATGAGAATGAAATATTGCAGAAAAGTTTGTACTTTAAATTTCGCTTAACTTTAGAATTATTATTTTAAATACAATTCAAACTTATTTTATTTATTGTTGAAACTCATTTGTAATTAATATTATTCATTTATTATAGTGACATTAATCATAAAAGTCGTTGTGTTTATTTTTCAGTGAATATAATTATTAATTAATTGTAGCCCAGAAGACATCATGACCGATATGAAGTTGAATATATTTGTGGCAAAAGAATTGATAATGATATTCTTAAGTACTGCGTGAAATGGAAAGGCTTTCCACATTCACAGAACAGCTGGCTTCCCATATATGATCTTGTTTGTTCTTTTCTGCTACTTTTTATTTTCATTCTTGAAATCAAACTTTACAAAACGTATAAGTAATTACTTTAAATGTAGTACTCAAGGTTGAAAATACTTGCATCTCATTGCTAATTCTTCTAAAAATGGCTTTATAAAAATTAGCAAGCGCTCTATAATAGAATTTAGAAGCAGTGAATTTGATAAAAGATTTCTTTCGATTTAAAGTGACATATTAATTAGTTTATTTTTAAGAGATATAGACTTAATTATTTGTGAGATCGTTTTGCTTTTTATGTAGTAATTAATGTCTGAATATCAGCCATAATTTTTACTCATTCCTTTTTTATTAAGACTTTTCCATATCATTGTTTATACCTTTTAACTGTATATTTAACATCTCTAAAACATTTTAAATTGGAAAACTAAAAGTATTTGTCAGTAAGTTTGTAACGGAACGAAATATAATTGAATGCATAAAAATTAGTGGAAGATTAATTTTTTAGTATGGAGCGAGAGTTGCCGTAAGAAAATATGAAAATTCCTTAAGAAGAATTTCAATGAAGAGACAACTTAGGAAATCTTATAGCGTATCCACTTCTCGTACTTCACGTACTTCTCGTACTTCACGTACTTCTCGTACTTCTCATACTTCTCATACTTCTCGCACTTCTGAGATTTCTCATGATTCTTGGTAATGTTACCGTTATCCATAATTCAGATAGCAATTATTATTATGATTGTGTAAGAAGTGTATTCTCAAAATAATTAGAAGCAGTGCAGTGAACCAAATACATAAAATAATTACATTTTAGTAAGTGACTTGAAGTTTACAATGAATAATGATAATATTTCTACTATTTGCAATTTTAAAATTCAGGTCGAGAGGAAAGTGTGGAACTAAAGTCAAACAAACTCAAACTGAGATTTCATCTTTTGACCAGAATCTGCTAGAAAAAAAAAATGTCAGTTTACATTAAATTTATAATTTTTAATCGTAATAGATATATCTTTTATGCATTGAAACTGCATATGTATTGCAAAAATGTTTTCAATAAGTAACAAAAGCGGAGAAGATTTGTTTTTAATTTTTGCTTTTAGTTTCTGAAATATACCTCTGTGTTCTTGTTATTTTTTTCAGGAAAAAAATTCCTATTATTTGCTTAGAAATGAATTTTCAGCCGGAATTTTTATTTATAAAGAACGAGCCAGTAACATCTGAAGACATGGATACAGGAACAGACCATCATTCTGGATTTTCAATGGAATGCACTTCAAATTCATGGACCTATAAGGACTCAGCAGAAACTGGTAGCACTGATGAAATATTGAAAAACTTTTCTTCACTAAATGTAAGCTCTTAGTGAAATGTAGCTGAGATAATCAAAATTTTTTGTGATGTAACATCAGTTATGAATACATTCTATTAACTGTTTTGGTTATTGAAGATTAAGTTTTATCGTGTTTGCAAATTTCAAATTAATTGTATTATAGGTTAAAGACCAAAGCACCAGTGAATATGATAATGATTCCGTAAGTAGCAGCCTCTACACAGTAGATAAAGATGGTATATATTTATATGTATATATTATTCATAATCGAAATAGATTAATCACAGATTTACAAAAGCTAAATTTTAAAAATATTGCTTAACAATTGTTCAATTTTTGTCCTAAAAATTAAATTGCTACTACTTTAGTTACATACTTCATGTCAAATTGAGATTTAGAAAGAGGTCAGATTTCTCATAACGATGTCAGAGATGTAATTAAGCACATAAATTTGCGATGCTCAAGCTTTTATTTTTTGAATAGTATGTAATGGTTGATTATTTGTTACCGGTGAATTACAGTCTCGGATTACAGGATAATTTATATTTCAGAGTATTCGAAATACAAAATTTTCTCTGGTCTTGAAATCGTTGCATTAATTGGCATAACACGACGAGTTTATGATGAACTTGCAGTAATTTTTATTATTGTTGTTATCTTTATTATGGATATAAGAATTTTGAATTCATTTTTATCTTGATTCTATTTTCTACAAGAATTAACTAAATTAACTAGGTTTTTTCGTATGAGCTTTGTTTCTAGAAATAGAAAAAATAGTGAGAGTGGTATTTAGATTATTATTTTAAGCATTTTATTTAGATTATTATTTTAGGCATTAAGTAAATTTGAAATAATAGAGAAAATAATTAACGATTGAATTATGCGAAAAAAATTTTCAAGATACCTCGATGCAAACTAAGTAACAAGTATCAAAAAAAAGTTTAATCTCTATGACATCTTGTCTTGTACCATGCATTACATTAGGTTATTCATTTAATTTACTTGTTTACTTTTATTGCATTTTTCGGTTGTTTATCTGAAATTTCTTCTTGTGGATTCAAAGTCGGAATTGTTTTGAAGGTAGCACTAATTAACTTGATATTTTTCTTTCAGGCTTTCCTACTTTATGAAGATAACACCTTGGAGTTTGTACCTACTCGTATTGTTGCGAGCGAAGCACCAGGCGTAAGTTATTTAGTTTTGGTTTTGGTCTTTTTCTTTGAAATTTATAAGGTTAAGTGCTCTCATTCGATTTTCCGAGAAATACCTTCATAAGGTTATGTAGATGTTAAAAAAACAGAAACTTAAAGAAATAAAAATGTATCGCATTCTGCAGTCAATTGATAATCTATAATTAGGAGCAATGAACAAAAACTTACTGAATCAGTATTTCTTATTTTTGATATATTGAAACTTATATATTTTCCAGCTTCTCATTCGATTTTACGAGAAATACCTTCGATTTGAGTAAGAATATGGCAAATTTCTGGTAAATGGCAACTATTGTATGATACGACTTCACCGTTCTCTTACATTTTTCTAAAATATTCATTTCATTACTTATTTGTTTCAATCCCCTAGTAATTGTATCCCTTTTTAATTAATAAATTTGCCGTACTTTTTACTTTTACTATTCATGACCAGACCCACTATTATATCTCGAGTGCAGTTTTCAGTTTACTTATTTGATGTTTTGAACGAACTTTCATACTCTTAATATAAGAGTGTGATAATAAAAATTTTGACTGCACAAATTGTATTTTAAAAAAAATTAGTACTTTGTTTGATCATTTTCTAGTATCATATATTTTTTAGTTCGTAGTATGTCATTTTTGAACTTATATATTCTTTTTCTGTTTGCAATTTTTTTTGCATCATAAAATATTTTGCGTTTAATTCGAATAGACCAGACAATGCCAGAAGTATTCTGCATATTGTGCAAGCAAATATCACTCATTTGCACACATTACTTTGTATTCTTCACTTTTGTATTCATGAAATTAAGTAGATATTAAGATGATAAATGGAATAATTGTGGTATTTACAAGAAAAAGTACAATGCAGTTGTCAAATACAGCACTGAAACAAAGAATTTGATTGTTACCAGTTTTGACTGCAATGCTATGAAAAAAAGATAACATAAAATGTTGACTTTTGGTTTTTGTCAATATTATCCGTAAGATTGTGAAAAAAATCGAACATATGTAAGTGTATGGATGAAAGTATGATGGTTGAAGAGGAATTACTTTTGCATCAGAATTGTTATTTCGAAGTCAGATGACATTTTTTTGAATATAATTGGGTGGTTATTTAGGTCACGTAGCAAATTGACTAACGGATGCAATACCTTCAGACAGGACAAATTTTTGATAAATATACGTGGTTTCGTTACGATCTTGACCTATAAAATTGTTACGCTGTTAATTTTTTCCTTAATGTTATGAGCAAATTGGAAAAACCATTGGATGAATGCGCAATATATGGGTAAGTGGAACAAAATGTGGCTCCGATTTAGTGGAATATTTTTGGGTTTCCTCATAGCATTTCCTGTGATTCTCATATATCAGTGTTTCATTTAAATTGTTACAATTTCTTCTTCAATTTTGACTATTTTACTTCGTGCGAATTTTACTCTTCAAAAAATATACTACGTTTGTAAAATAGGCAATTTTTTCATTTTTCTTCAATTTTTATCACTTATATTTGTTTAATTATTTAAAATGAAGCTAAATTTTAGTGTGTCATTTTTATATTTAAATGTGTAAAATAAGTGGAAAAATTATTCAAGTGGGATTTCTCTGTAAAGATTCTGGTATATGAATCTATTCTTAAGATAGAATTGAATAAATTAAATCTATAAATATCCTTGCTGAACAGTAAAAATATATGTTTTGTGTATTTTTAAAAATTTTTACTTGCAAAAAAGTGAGCTACTCAAACGTGTGTCAAACATTAAATATTTCAAGATTTTTAGTGCTTAAAATTCTTTCATAAATTGTATATCAAATGCAATCCAAACAGAACCATGATAATATATTTATTAAATAAACACTAACAAACTAATTAACTATATTCGCAGTTAGCTTACAGATGTCTTGGAAATCGATATTCCTTTTTATAAGCTACAGTTTCATCAATATTGCATTTTTTACTGCAGGTAAAAAATGAACTATGTTTCATTATTTAAAATTTTTTTGCATTTAACATCAGCAACACAGATATTTATTTTGTTTATAAGAGTCTTCATGAAATTGAGTAATTTTTTCCAGCTAATCGAAATTTAATAGAATATGATCTAACAAATGATGGGAAAGTGGATAATCGTGAATTAAGAACAGTAGCTTATATGAATTACAAGCTTCAACCAACAATCAGTGATGTAGCTTCTTAATTATATTCGTAAAAATAACTAATTTCCTTCGTAAAAACGTTCTTTTGTATTATACAAATGTGATTATTATTTTTGGTAATGAATTAAAAATTCACTTCAAATGCAAATAAACTGACCTCATTATTCAATCTCAGACATTTTTTCTTTATTCAGAGCATATTTCGGAGAACAGACCGTAATCATGATGATTTACTTGATCGTAATGAAATTATTGCTGCTGCTAGATTACTAAAAAGACATGCTGAACGAACTGCTTATCGTTGGCTAGAAGTAATAAATTTTAATTTCAATTGATTTTCAAGTATTATTTTGTTCTAATTTGAAAGGTTTATTAATTAAAATATATTATCCAATTTATGAGTATAATAGAATGATGAAAGGAATCACTGTATTATTACATAGCCAAATTATCTTAAACTGTAATATAAAATAGTGTTTTATCTTCTTAAATCAACAGGAAAGTATGTTTAGGAGCATGACTCAGATGGAGATGGCTTACTGAATGAACTAGAATTATTTGAATCAGCTTATATGGAACACGGTCTCTCTTCACATGATATAAATAACTGTTTTCAAGAAAATGATGTCAACAACGATAAACATTTAACATGCAACGAATTGGTTGACACACTTTACTGCGTTAGAATACTGGCATTGAAAGAAACAAAACAACTGATTAAGGCTTGCTATTGATATATTGTTATTCATATTATACTTATATTACACTTATCAAAATTACAGATCTAAAACCAAAAAGAAACCTTAAAAATATTATGATCAAAAAATCAGAAACTATATATATTATTCTGATCGATTCACTTTTTAAGAACAATGATTTAGAAATTTTTTATTGCAAAAATATAAATAGTTTTAAAATCTCCGTTCTTCAAGTTATATTTAAAACGATATACTTTTAATGGTTACGTCAATTTTGTTTGAAAAATAATTTAAAGTCCTTTTTATAAAATTATAAAAGTGACTATTAGTACATACTTATTTTCGTAATTTTATTAGTTAAAATCATCCAATTTGCCATCAAGTACTATAAACTATTTTAGTAATGCATATGCATACATTTAGTTATATTTTTATTTTACTTAGATTTATGATGCTGATCAAGATCATCGATTAAATCTTCAAGAAGCACAAGTATTAGCAAGCATACGTTATGATGTAGAACCTGACTTTGCAGCTCTTGCTTTTCAACGTGTAAGCCATCGGAGTGATAATACCGTATGTTCTTCCTTTGTTAATTTTCTCAGAATTTTTGAGCTAAAATATAAAAAGTTTTAATATCTTTACTTTTCACAATAATATCCAATTAAAAACGTAAACCATAAAAGTGAGCACTGAAGTTTATTATATAAATTTAAATTTTCCTGTACTACTCTAATAGAACTTTTGAATAACTTGTATATTTTTAGATTAATGAACTCGAACTAGTTGATTTGCTTACCGATTTACGAAAAGAAGCAGCTATTTTTGCACTAAATAAATTATCTGTAAGTTCCAATTTCATCTAATAGAAACTAAATAAATGCAAAATATTTTGAGATATTTTTGTACTTGAAAGTAGTTATTGCAAGATATAGTTTGGTTTTTATACTGTGATTAATAAAACTTTTATTATTTCTAAATTTAAACTTCACGTAAATTTCTAACTTGTTCTGAATCAACATATTATAAGTCAATGACTTATTTTAATAATGGCTCATACAATATGACACTAAGAAATTCTGAAAAAATAAAAATAGAGAAAAGAGTAAGTAGTGTTTAATCACAGTTAATACTATATACAGTGAAGTAATTTTACATGAATCATTTACAGTAAAAACAGTAATTTACATTGTCATTCAGTAATTTTACATTTTTACATTTTACATGAAGTAGTGACTTATGGTTTGTTAAATTATATATATCAATAAATAAATCTAAAACAAGGCAATTACTTTAAAACACTCTCTGATACGATTTTTTGTTAGCTGATAATGAGCTGCCAATTTTCCCAATGGTCAATTACAAAAGTCGAATTCAATTAAATCTCTACTAAAAATATGCATCTTGAGCCCAAAATTTTTAAAAAAATTACGTGAATTATTTTTTTAATCTTCTGCCACGCTGATCAAAGTAAATTATTTGATAATAAATTAATTAAGGCCTTTTAGGTTTAGACATTTTTAGACAATTCTGTACCAATCATTGTATTTTTCAACTCTCTACATGAATAAAATAACTATAATTATCTCTTTTACTTAAGCTAAATTTGCAAAGAAAAATTATTCAAACGTAATCATTAATATAATACAATTTTCACACCTATATGCTTGATCTGTTTCAGGAATATAAAACAATTTGTTCCATATCACTAACTCATTCATAATATTAGATATAGATAAATCATTCGATAAGGTGAAAAGATAAACTTTTAATTCTAAATATAGAAATAAATTTTGTCCAGAATTTGGATCGAAATGGTGATGAAGCGGTATCATTTAATGAACTATTACAAGGATATGAAAAACAGATCAAAAAAAATCGTTTAAAGAAAATTTTCAACAAAGTTGATGTTAATCAGGTAAATTTAAAGATGATATAACTATTTGAATAAACATCATATTCTGAGCTATAGTTATTTTGCACATATATTTTGACATAGCAGATTTCGAGTTTAAATATAGAAATTAATATCAAATTATTGAATTATTTCTAAGCAAAAAATTATTTTAGAATGCTCACATTGATCCTATTGAGTTTGTCTCATTGCAAAATTTGGTTGCCGATGAAATGCATCAGCAGACAACACAGGCTAATAATTATGAAGAAAAACGAAAACTCATAGCTGCAGTGACTACGACTCCAAAAACTTTAATTATTTTCAAGTCTCCAAAAAAAACGCGAGCTTTATCATTTATGAATCGAAAAAAACGTCATACAAATGGTTATTTTTTTTTTTGCTAACTTCTGAGGTTTTATTTTGGGTCAAAATTTTTAATTTTGACTAAAAAAATAATTGAACTGACTAAAAATAATTGTTATTCCAAAATAACATAACTTTTGAGTTCTAAAGTGTGGAATCCAAAATTATAAAATTTTTCATGAACATGGAAATGAAATAATTCAATTTGCTATTTTGTATTTTGCATCATACATTATTTTTTTTAAGCAAATTGATAATAGCAGTAAATAGTAATATCTTTATTTTCAGACTTAAAACATGTCAAAGATTTACTGATTGAAAATAAAAATGAAGCATATACAAGAGAACTGTTTGCCGTTAATGCAAGCAATATTAATTTCACTACAGTATCAACTACAGTACCAAAGTATATGATGAGACATTATAGAGATCAGAAACATTTTTCTAATAAAGAACAAATAATTGCAAAAGAACATGCAAGTACTAATAAATCTGCAACTCACAAGGATATGTTGAGAACTGGAAGAATTGAAGAAAAACTTGCTTCAGTTGATCCAACTACACGATCATTGGAACAAACTAATCAAATTAATTCGGAAGCGACAGAAGCGGGCAAAAATAAAAATGCAGTCACTGAGAAGCGAAGTGACCGACTGACTAATGATCCAAGAATTGCATATATTCAAAAATTTGAAAAATTTATCGGCTTTTTACAGAAAACTATTAACAAGTTGAATGAAGTTGCAATACAAAATAAGAAAAATGAGTCTGACTACATAGAAAATTACATCAAGGGTATTAGTGTTTCTAGACGTTCCAATTGTACTGCAGAAAGCAACAAGTTAAATGCTGAGGAAGACTACAAAATAACAATTCCTGAAATTTCGATTACGATAAAATCAAACAATGACAGTACAGGAGAGACAAGTCAAAAAGATGTGGTTAACTTATCCAAACTTTGCGGTTTACCACAGCTTGACCAAAATGAAAAAGTTGCTGCTTCAAAGAATTCTAATGGAAAAGCTCACAAAGAAAATCCGGATTTGAAACAAGAAAGTAAATCACCTCAAGAATCAGTAAAAAAAGAAGAAACAGATATACCAGAAGCAGAGGATTCGAGTTTAGAAACTCATGAGCCAGAATCTCGCAATACATCTTGTAAAAACGATAAAAAAGTATCAATGAAATCTAAAGAAGTTAAATCATCTAATGAAATTAATCGAGAATGTAAGAATAATCAAACAGGAAAAGATTCAGAATTGCTTTGTAAAGATTCGAAAATTGGTGCAAAAAATGAAACTGAAATGAAATCATTGAAGTCAGTAACTGAAAAATCAGTGAATAATGAGGTTGCAAAGATGAAATTAGAAGAAGTTAATTCACAATCTTGCAATATAACAGTGAACACTAAATCTCTAGACAAAAAAACTACTATTGATAATCTTCCTAAAGTTGAAGAAGATGAAAAATTTAGGATTTTATCTCACAAATCGATGGAAAAGAGCGCTGAAGAGAATCAGATTCTACAACCCTCGAACAAGAGAATGCTTGAAGATAAAGAAGCAACTTTTAACACTTCGATTCCTTCTAATAGCACAGAAAGTGATTTGCATCAGACTTTACAACCAAAAACAATAATGCCCGTAACAGAAAATATAAAGGATGAAAATGGTATTGAAGTGCACACATTAATAAACGATGATAATTTTAATCTTCTTAAACCTTCATTAGATTCAATGGAAAAAAGAATACATCAAATTATTGTTGTGCCAAGTATTGATGATGAAGATGACTTTTTCAATGAAATACATAACACAACAAATCAAGCATCCGCTAAATCTAGTGATATAGTCGCAAAATTCCAGAACGAAACGAATAAACTTAAAAATAATATGACTTCTATATTCTATAAACAGCAGAATTGCACAATTTCAACATCGGATCAAAATACAGTTGATTCTCTGCAGCTGACAAGAGTCAATAATGAAAAGGATAGAAATCTTCAGGCAACATTACCAACAGATTCTCCAACACAGCTTAACAAAGTTATCACTTCGACATCTATCACTTCAGATTCCATAGTTTCTTCAACAAAATCAGTGAATGAAAATATTCTACCGGCGGCTATAGATAATTCTAGCAAATACAATGCTAGCAAAAATATCATTGATGGAAACAGCATTGGAATTAAAGCACTTCAGAAGAAATACAAAAAATGTATAAAACGCAGTCAATCCTCAAAGCGAATAAGAACCCCAACAAAACAACGGGAATCACAAAAAGATATAGTAATACAAATAACAATTCCAACAGAAAATGGAACGTAAGTTGGCAATTTATAGAAAATTTATTTGAATTAATTACAAACAGTAACTCTATACCCATTTATATATTATTCTTAAATCTATTGTAATCTAAAATTGCTCGAAAAAAAAAGAAAAATACAACAATATTATATCCTTTTTTGAAGTTTTTTCTAGGCTAATTTGTTTTGTGATAATATTGAAAATTTTAGGACATGTTAAGTTGATAATAAATTCTAGCATAAAAATAGAATTTGAAAGCTGATTTGCAAACTAAATTTAAAAAAGATTACAGCAAGAACTACATTAGATCATATCATGATCTAATCAATGAATCTGTATCAGAAAATTAACGAATTAAGATTTACAATTTCTTATAGCCAAAAAATGATTACAGCACTGTGATTAGAGAAGAAAAAATAAAACCCGATGAAGTGCAACTGAATTATAAAGTATGCAAAAATACTCTACGACGTTCTTGTAAGTTCAAGTTATGTTACTGTATATCAGAGTAGCAAAATGTTATTGATATAAATTAATGATTAAACAGAGATCAAATAAAATTTTATTTTTATATATTTCCTTTTTGAATAAATAAAAATGTAAATTAAAAGATTTTTTTTTGTAAATTTTTTTAGAAAAAATGTAAATTAAAAATTACTTACTTTCGTGTGCATAACTTTTTTTTTTAAATAAAATTTAATCTCAATGATCAAAATCTATATTATACTTTTTACTAGCTCGCAAATCACCTAAACGTGATAAAGGAAAAGCTAAGTCAGCGGTTTCTTCAACGTAACCAATTTACATTCTACCTTATAGAGGTGTGCAAAGGCTAAAATAAATCGAACTTAAACTATTCCTCATTACAAATTATCCTGAACTATGTGTTTAATATATTTTGAATTTTTAATTGTATTTAAATTTATTTCAAATATTATTACAAATAAAAATAATAATTTTATTACAATAAAAAAACAAAAATAGCACTAATTTGAAATCAGTTTGTAGAATTCTGCAACTTCTGAATTTATACTTTTTATTAGCAAACTGTCAAAAAAAATCATATGAAATTATTGATGGAGGAAAAGAAATCAATAACTGAGCTTAATTCAAGTGATGTGATGAAATCGTATCAGGGCTGCTCCTTTCGTAATACCACTTGTCTGCTTGTACTCTAAAAGTTTTATTGATTATTTAAAATATTATGTAAGAATAAGTTGTACAATTTATTTACTTACTATCTTACCTGTCTAATTACTTGACGGGTCATTTATTTTTTCACTAATGCAGCTGTTATTATTATTGTTTTACTTTCCATAGTTTGTGCTAAATTATGATGAAATCTGTTTAAGTCTCGTCTCATTTATTTGATTATGAAAGTTGTGAAGCGAGTAGTGATTGATTGGATTTGTAGTGTTTTGTTCATTTGATGCTGTAATTATTTACCCAAAGAATCAAATGATAATAATTATTATCTTTGTATTATAATTAAGCAATCATGTTTGTTATTTGTGCATATTTGTCATGAATTGTTTAATATATAATTTTAATATATATGCTCTATACAAATCAGATAAATGATATAATGGGTAAGAGGAATGGTGCAAAAGCTTTTCACATATTTTACGAAAATTAAGCTGACTAACAAATTAAATTTAATTCTTTACAAATTTTATACTTTTTATTGAGGTATTATCAAAATTAAATTAATGATTTCTCAAATTTTTTTCCGTTTTTCTCTAGTATTTTGTGGTGCAGTTACTGTGCTGCACGAACAATGTCTGATCGATTTAATTGTAACACAATTCTTACATTTCAACGGCTTAATTCTAAAAGGTCAAATACATCACGACTGATATCACACAACTTCTTTCCTTTCCGACAGATAATGGATATCTTTTCAGCTGCTTCATATTTACCACAAAACATTGAAAAAAGTACAGAGTTATAACCTTCACATGTAAGTAATGTCTAAATCTTGCATAGACGGAAAGACGTCACTCATGTCTGCGACGCAGCTTTCCTTCACTAGCCCATATGTCTCATTCCAGTAATTTCCCGCATTGCACAAATTTGTAACTTGCTCAATTTATTGAAATAACAGATTAAAGATCATTAAAAACTTAACTAGATTGGAGGCTGTAATTTGAACGTTTACTGCTACAGACAGAAAAAACATCTGAACGCTTCTTTTTTCACTTATTAGATTAGTTTGTGCCCTCATTAATGTATTAGTGATGTAAGATGTAAAGAAATATGTATTAAGCAGCTTCATAACGATATTGAGTTGACTGACTTTTATGCCATAATAAAATCAATAAGTATTACAGCAGCAAACAGTAAACAGTAACAACGGCGGCAATATTTCAGATTAAACAAATAGGTCTATGATAAAAGTTACTTTGGTTACTTAAAACTATAAAATAGTAATTGGCTGGTGTAATGTTAGTAATGAATAAGTAATATGTGGTGATGGATAATATAAGGCGATTAGTTGTAATTTGGAAATAATTATTCATGGACGATGACGTATACGGTTACTTGTTTTTATCATTGTGACTGGACAAAAACATTAATACTTGATTTTGGAATGTTGAAATAGCTATTTCGTAATAATTCGATCCAAATAAAAAATATTTCAGCACTAGAACAATACGATATTGAGCGACCTATTCTTTAACATGTCAATGAAATCACATGAAATGCTAAAGTCTTTACGTCCGTCTCTAAAACATCATGCGAGTCAAAATCGAGATTCAGATATCCAGCGGGTAAAGCAGTATTTTTAACGGATTATTTGTGATATCTGATAGATATAATGCTGCTTTATACTATCTTCAGAGAAAATATTTAATCAAAAATCATGGCAGAATCTAGCTGAAACCAAAAAATGCCAGGTTTTTAGAAACAAAAAGCACTTGTGATGAAAGAAATGATTACTAGCAAACAATAATTGCCTGAAATAAATTGATGAGTAATAAATAAGCTGTACGGTTTTAGAAAAAATAAATGCTTGTATTACAGCATGTAACTTTCGCTACTCCCAATTTACCTTCTGAGGACAAGAAATGCAAAGAACAAGCAATATCCCATCAGAAGAATGCTTTCAAGGTAATAATTCTACACTTTTGAATTTCTAAGCAATTTCGCTAACTTTTTTTTTTACCCTGAATTTATTCAGAAGGTACCAATCAAAAAAGGAAAAAAAATGATTTTTCGTAAGATTTAATGGTGTGCAGTTTTGAAATAAGCTCTACTATATTTATGACAAATTTTTATGCAGAAAAAGTGAAAGAGAAACGTAATAATATTTTAGATTCTGAGATAAAATAAATTGAAAAAATTAATAAGTTATTTGAGCGTGAAAGGCCAAAGCAAGAAAATGATGCACAGAGAAAACTTGCTCCATTAGTGCAAACTGAAGAAGTATGTTCCAAGAAAAGCAAACGTAACGACCAGATTCTGCGCTTGTGTCAGGTGATAGTAAAATTCTGATTTTGTTGTAGTTTAGATTTTATGAGATTTCTCTCTCAATTATTCGTTAATCTGACTGGTTTTTAATTATTGTCCTCGCGATATTAACTGTAACGCGATACTTGGAAATTTTTGGTATCATTATAATAACTTCTAAAGAAAACAAAACTTGACAGTGATAATACATAACGACAAAAAATCCCTCTTGAAAGCTACACTTACTGGTTCATGTTTATTGAGATTGAGATACGATATTTTATTCTGATTTGTACATCCACAATAGTTATAAAGCAACTTTGTCCAAAATATGGCTACTACCCATACTGTCTAATATCATAATAACAGTATCATAATAATACTGTGATGTACTACATAATAGTTTCAAAGAAATGTAACTACAAAGGAAACATGATGAATAAAATAATGTAGACTAATTCGTTCGGGACATTTAATATCGTCGGCAATACGGTTAAGTGGTGAACTGATAGTGCTCTATATAATGTGAATAAGGATGAAAATTTATGGTTGCTTCATGTTAGCTTTGTCGTTTGGATTTTTTCAAGTACAGAACTGGAATTTCGGCGAGATTTGAAAGTAAGATTTAAATTCATAGAAAAAACATTCCCTGATTTTCAGGCCCAAAAAGTATTGGTTAAATCGGACTTTGTTATCAAACGTCTGGAAAAAGAAACGGCAGACCAAGAGAAAGCTTCGGCCTTACTCTTACAGGATGCAGTATCGCTCATTGAGGCAGATGTATCACGTAGTTGCGAAGAACACAAAATTGAAGTAACTTTAAACATTTATGTGCTTGAAACAAACCTGACATTGTGAACTTTCAACACGCCAATTTCTTACTTTTTATATAAGTGGATAACTTTGTAGAAAGCAAGTTTTATAAACGTGCACGAATCTGATACTTATATCAAAAATTTTCAAGTTTTTTTGGGATATATTTTGTTTAAATGTAAATTAGGATATGACAAGACAATTTAAATAACAAGAAGATCAATTACTTGCATGAATGGTAAATTCATTTCACAATTCGATTACTTTTAATCTGTATAATGAGAGAAGTAGTCAATCATTTAAGAAATTTATTTGCAGCAACTATTGAGCGATGGTGAACGTCAACAGCGCAGAGCATCACAAAAACTACATGAGGAGCTGATGGAGTTTGACAACATAGTGGAGAGCTTGAAGAAGGTGCCTTGTTTCCTTTTTCTTTCGTTTCTTCCAGTTAGAAATCACTGTGATAAACCCATGTGCGAATGAGCTTTTTTTTTTAAAGATACTACTCACGAATATTCATTCTTTCAACTGCATGTTTTTTCATGTTGAAAATAACTGCTACACCATGTACTTCCAATTAACATTCTACATTCTAGACTTTGATAGCGATGAAGAATTCTAATGATATACTTGACAAACAGATGGCATCCCCTGAAGGTGAAGAAGAAGACTCATCGTTTGCAAGTCAAGTAAAATCACTGAGCATGGACTTGAAAATGTATTTAGAAGTTCTTGATTCTTTGAAACAGCTGCATTTTTAATGCTGTTCACTTTACACACACTATGATTCCGAATGGATAAATTTGTAGAAAGCAATATGAATCATACATGGATATCAAAATTATTCATCTTGTGAAAACATTAACCTGCATGATTACGAAATATGTCAGCAAAGATTTCCATAACAGGAAGAGCGAAAATTTTTGAACTGTTCTAGTAAATATTTGAGAGTTTCTGAACGACGGAAGGAACAAAGTAAAGATGCAAACATAATTTTGTTTTTACTTTTGAGCACATAAACGTGATAAACAATAAACTAGTAATCTAGATGTGAGCGATTATCAGATTACGAAGGTATCTTTCCGTACTTCTGGAAATGTTATATGGTACTGTATCAAAATATATGCCAACAATTAAAAGAATACTTAAAGTTTTCAATAGCCAGACAATTCATCTAAATAAAACTTACTACATAAGATTTAATGAATTTAATCATCAATTTATTCCAAAAAGCGCTGACATCAATTCCTTTCACTGCCAACTCTATGTCCCATTGAATTAATTCCAGATATTCTATAGATTTGCTTCTCAAGGGATGAATCATCGTATTTAAAATTGTAATGAAGTTGCTATACATTTAATGGGTCTTCACAAGTTCTCTAATGTTGTTGAGTGAATTTTGTGTAAATGAGTCACAACAATAAAGTTGACTACGGTACTAGCAAGTTCGTTGTCGAATTTATGAGGCAGCTATGTTGCATAAGTCCAGACTGACTTTTTCTTTTACTTTCTTACCTAGCTTTATTGTAATTTATATCAATGTCCAGCTGTTATGTAAATATTTTCCACAAATATTAGGAACTCTTATTTTTGTTTGTAGTCAGCAATAAAGTACAAAAGAGTGTACACAAAGTGTAGTATTGATTCATTGTTTTATATCTAAAAATTCAACTTTGAATTTTTTCATGCTTCTTAACAAAGTATCTAATCGCTAATAGCAAGGTGTTTAATTTTTTTTTGGCTCCTAACTATGTTTTATACTTTCATGGTATTTTGTTAAGAAGCATGAAAAAATTCAAAGTTGAATTTTTTATCCTATGATTATTATTCCTACTGTGTTTTTAGTAGCAATAATAATCATAGGATCTTGCAACTAAACACTATTTGTGCGACTAATTTATTGTAGTTTCGTTTTTACCAATTAACAAACGCTTCATTATGATGTTCCTACTAATGTTTAGTTGCAAAAATGGTTCGTCGTCGTATGGCTGCTCCCAAGCCTTCTGCTCCAGTACATCGTCGTATGCCTTCGCCGGTAGGTGCACGTATGCCACCGGCGGCACCAATGCAGGCACGCCCGCCAGTGACTCCAAATTCTGCACCAAATCAGCATTTCGGTATTGCACCTCCATCTCAAGGACCTGGACTGATGGGTCAAATGGCAGCAACCGCTGGTGGTGTTGCTATAGGTTCTGCAGTCGTAAGTCATTACCTAAACATAGAGTTTAGTTGTGTCTAAGTATTATACTATCATTGCTTCATATTTTTGCTGAGAGACTTGTAGCTAATTCCAGATGTTGGCTGTTTTTACAGTTCTTGATCAAATGTCAGAGTTTACCTGAAAAGTACTTTCTCTCAGTGATATAGCACTTAAATAATTTTGAGGGTCATGCTGTTGGTAACATGCTTACTGGGGGCAGCGGAAACCGTGATGAAGTTGTTTCATCTGAGAAGCAGTATCAAAATCAGCAGATGTTGGATCAGCAACAATATAAACATCCGTGTGAATTTGAATGGAAACAATTTGTTGAATGGTGATAATTTATATTTATGGTGGCAATGAGTTGATAAGAAAATAAGCTAGTTTATCTTAAAAACATTCACGGAAAAAAATCTCATTTTGTTGGAAATAAGAACTATAATTATTATTTTTAGTTTTTATCAGTAGCGCTTTACAGACTGATTCTGATGCAGGCTAAATGTTGCATAGTCAAAGTAATCAAATTTTCATGTTTTAATTAAACTTTTTTGGTCTTCGTTCATAGTTATCTCATTTAGCTTATGGCAGCAGAAACGCTTAATTTTGGTGCTAGGAGGAGAGTATTCTTGGGTAATTATTTCCCCCTTCACAATTTGAGGCCTTGATAAATTCTCGTTTCTTTATTTCAGCGCTGAAAGACAGAACGATGTCAGTTTGTGTCAAAGCTTTAACGAACTTTTCAAGCAGTGCCGTGCAAACAATTTGTCGTGATTACAAATAACCGTATAAAAAATTGTGAGAGAAATTTTCGACTTCCATGTAATAGAGAGTTTGTTTAAAACGGTGTAGTATTTGTAGGTGTATTATTGTTGGTCAAATATATCTGTATCCATGAGTAGCTTTGAATAAAATATAATACTGTTACTGTTTATTCTGCCTACAGAAAGTCATAAAATCACTGCCATGACATCTATAATCATTCAGAAAAATTCTGTTATATTTTCTTTGACTTTGTAGTAGTTGCTGTGGTCGGTGTTGGCCGGCTCCGCACTGCAGAGAGAAACTTTCCCAGCACACACGGATAATAGCGTAAAGGAGACTTTTTTTTAGGAAAATAGTCGGCTTCATGCTAATGCACCATACTTTCACTCAAGTCCAGTGTGGCTCAATGTTGAAGGAAACTGGTAGAAAAACCATTCTGTGATTCTGAAGAGCATCGCTTAATGTTAACTGGGGACCTTCTCCACCAAATTTTCGGTTAACAGTTAAAGGGTGGGTTGGTGGGAGAAAGTCTTGACCTCTCATGCTCTTCTTAATCGTTGATTGGCTATTCTATCAATTTCTCATAGGATAATATCGAGGCCGCACTAGGCTTGGCTGATGGTACGGCAGGAATATAGAGCTGATTATTGTTCTCCTGAAGAAGGCAAAAAGTCTCTTACAGTTAGAATCTATACGTTTGTTGAACCTGGAAGAATTTCTCTTTGCAGTACAGAGCTCGTGGACTCGGACTGTTGTAACATTCTAAAAATTTAGCGCTAATAGGCTATAATATTTTTTCAAAATGGAAATTTTTCAACTGTACATATGTCTTTGATGTTTAAGGTTTTATCAACAAAAATTGTGATGTTAGTTTGTTAGGTTAGATTGTAAATTGTTCGGTGTTTGCACTTGGTTACTTTTTCTTTCAATGGTTTATTGAAGTGCAGTGTTATTTTTGACTGATACTAAATTTGAAATGAGTTGAGGTATACAAATGCTTAATTGTTAAGGTTATTTGTATTGTCAAAATATTAGACATTTTTTTGTTAACTGCTGTATGATCTGAAAATTCATGCATTTGAGAAACAGTCCATCACATAGTAATATTATAAACAAAGTTGCAAATTATGTCTTCATATAGGATTTGATTATTGACGGAAAAAATGAGGTCAGAATTCGTGTAGTAGGACAGGCTGAAGTGTAGGCACTGAAATTTAGTTCACCTTTGTAAGATATTTTATCAAGCATAAAGTCAAAAATTCCATGGTACCCAAAAGGCTGTGGAGGGACTTAAAGCATTTCTAGCAGGCAATATTCTGAGAAGTAAATATAGAAAATGTACATTTGATTTACTGGATGCTTTCATTTTCCGTCTCAGAATTTGCTGCTTTTTTTGTATCGGCAAAGATTATTCTCATAGAGAGCAATGACGGTTCGTGCATTACATTACGTATTCAAGATCGCTGACCGGAAAAAAAGTCGAGACTTCTTTGTGAATGTTTTAAAAATGAAGGTTATTTTTTAATTTTTCCGAATTTGAGATTGTTAAAAACTGTTTTCATTTCTGTTATGGTTTACACATTGATATGTTGTTTTGTTTCAATTGCTTGCTATAACATTAAGCATACGTCCAGGTTTTGCGGCATGAAGAATTCGACGAAGGTTGTAAGGCATTATGTAATGGGTTAGTTTTCTAAAATCTCTTTCTGTCTTCAAACAAAATTTTACGATCTGCGTCGATAAGTAATCATGTTTTATATTTTTTCTTTTTTTAAAAAAATTTAGTTCATTTCAGTTTTTTTTCATTACAGTCCCTATGATGGAAAATGGAGTAAAACAATGGTTGGCTATGGAAGTGAAGATAATCACTTTGTAATCGAACTCACATACAATTATCCAATCAATTCTTACAAGCTGGGCAATGATTTCGAGGCAAATTCTCGGAATTTCTTCAAATATAATTAATAGATTTAAGAAACCAAAAATTACAAATTACAGCTAACTCAGCCACTGCTGAAATTATATCATGTGATATATTTTGAAATAATTTGCTTGAGAGTGTACAACTTCTTTAAGTAGTTTCACAGTCACGTGATAACTGCAGGCATGAAATGGTTCAACTAGCATATTTTAATCAATAACTAATTTTAATCATGGTTAGACCTACTCGATGTATCTCTTACGTCAGACAGACTATCAGGTTATATTTTATAGGAATTTGAATTGGTTCCAGGGAATATGCATCAGATCTAAAGATGTCTTTGAAAATTGTAAAGTTACTCATGTGGGCGTTGTGTTGTGCAGTGGAGAAATGGAAATTGAGGATCCTGATGGTCACAGATTTTACATATCTCCTGTAGATCACGAGTCAGCTGATGCGGATCCAATTTATAAGGTGAAATTCAATACACCCGATATAAAAGCAACAATGGGTACGGAGTTTTTTCACATTTTGTCATACAGTTCTCTTTATCTTATTAAAAGTTTTCTGAAACAATTGGTTATAATAAAAAATGTTAGTTATATGTCAATATGTGATGGATACATAATTCATATTGTTATTACTCTTATTACTGTTGTCAGAATGATTTTATTTTAGGGATTTTTTTTGTATTATAGATTGTTAGACGTTGGTAGTTATTTCTGTATTTTTTATAGATTATTGGATTGGATTACTAAACATGAAGGAAATTAGGCGGGACGAAAATTCATGTATTATATCCACTAGTGAAGAAAAACAGGTATTATTTCGTATGATATACGAATGATCATCTCACGTCTGCTTTTATTTATAAAAAATAACCTTCTCATGATTTTTATATCTAAAGTTGATATAATTGTATTATAAGAAAGGAATAATTTTCTATTGTTTTTGTTATTTTCTTTTAAAATATCACAATTTTTAGATCGAAATGGAGTGGATTTTTCTGGACGAAAAAATTAATCGCTTTACTGGTTATGGTCGGATAGCTTTTTCTGTCCCTACTGAAGATGTAAGCTATTTGGGGGTTTATCTGTGTTCACCATTGACGAGGAAGTTTTCAGTTTTATTTCGAACTTAAAAAATTTTTGAAGTTTAGTTGCGTAATTCTGAGAGTAAAAATTTTTGAATTTTCTCTAATCCTTAACTGTAAATTTTTGCTAACTTCAGTTAAAATCAACACTTGTATTTTCTCAGTTTTTATATTCTTTACAGTTGGAAAAAATACAAAAAAAAATGGAAGATGAGAATCAAAAAATTTTAACTTCTCTGAAAAAATTGGATACTCCTGGAAAAGCAAGTGTTCAAGTTGTTATTCTAGCTGACCCAGTAAGTTTCATTCACTTTTATAATCTTGTATTTGAGCTTACATAACAGATTATTACATGGTTTTTAGTCATCTTTTACGTAATTTCATTATGCTTCCATTTTTTTATCTCTTATCTGATTGATTTTGTGTTTAGAATGGTCATGAAATTTGTTTCGTTGGTGACGAAGCTTTCCGGGAATTATCTCAAACTGATCCTAATGCTGACCAGATATTACTCCATTCGATTGAGAAAGACAAAAGTGCTATTTATAAAAGACATGCTTTCTAAGCATTCATTCAAGTTTTTTATAAAAATTATTCTTTGGCAATTACTTCTATAGTAATATCAGTAGATACTGAAAAATATTTGTTTTGAAAATGTTTTTAAATAATTAATATTGCTATGAGTTTTCCAAGATTCTTCAGAGAGCCGATTATATGATTGAATCAAATAAGTACATTTTTGATTGTATTATTTTTTGTAATCGAGGAACTCCAAAGTAATGAGTCATTTAGAATGTTTGAAACCACAATATGTTTGAATCTAGATGTGTAGGCAGTTAAAGAAACGTAATCGGATGAAGTTCAAGATTAACTGAACTTTCAGAGATTAATTGATTAGTGCAGTAATGTCGAAAAACCTTCGTAGTTGATATTTTGAATTAAATCATTTTGAAAACCTATTAAATTTTAAAATTGGTTGTTCATGAAAAGCCGGTTTTCTTAGTCTGTTAAGTGTTCTACTTATTTATCATCTGTCATCTTTTATTTGTTTCCGAAGAAATTCACTTAATGTTCGATTTAAGTTTACTTTTTCTAAATTTTTACTTCATTTGTCAGTTTTTAGTTATATATCGTAATAAATTGTTTGGATCTGCAAATAAATTTTTTCACAACAGTTTCTTAATCTGGAAACTTATTTTGTAATAAGTAATTTTCAGATGAGAAATGCCCAAATTTATCAGCTCACGTTGCCTATTTTGTTCTTAGATTAGCATGAGACTAGTAGTTTTTGAGATATGACTAATTTTAAGTTGTTTATTGCTATAAAATATGCCTCGCTTCTAGTTTATCGTGTTTTATTCTAATTACTTGTTGATGCGCTAGACATTCTTAGCTAGTATTTTTTAGTCCTTTATTACTGTTGACAGTTTTGTTAGTTTTATTAACGGGTATTTAATTTTTCGTACTTTGCTCTATGTAATTCATATATAGTTCTCACTTTATACAGCATGGAATCTTGAAGACAAGTTTTGTAATATTGTTAATTAGGTAAAAATGTAATTATTCAAATTTGGTCAGTAAACACGGAGTCTTCCGGTGTATTTCGATTCTAGAGCAATGTATTTTGGTAGATTGTGGTTCTTCGTAGTATTCAAATGGCTCTTAGAGGGAAAGTAGCATTAGTAACAGGTGCTTCTCGTGGCATCGGACGAGGCATAGCGTTACAGTTAGGTGAGGCTGGTGCTACTGTGTATGTGACTGGACGCCATCCAGACTTGTCCCTACACGCTAGCCAGAATACGCTTCCAACGCTTAAAGCGACTGCAGAAGATGTCACGGCTCGTGGTGGCAAAGGTAATTTTTATTGGTGCATCTTGTTGAAGGGATTTCCAAATTCACATGGTTTGATGATTTCATCTTTCGATTTGTTCTTAAATTTTTGAACTTGTCACTTAGTCTGTGGTAGATGTGCAAATTGTATCTGCATTTTTCCTTTGTTGTAACTTTTGTACCTGTTACTCTTACATATGCTGTCAAATAATTCAAAGGATAATTTTTGATGTTTGCTTTGAATGTTACTTCCAGGTATTGCGGTTTATGTCGATCATTCAAATATGTCCGACGTTGAGAAATTGTTCAAGCGAATCGATGAAGAGACGAATGGTCACTTAGATATATTAGTAAATAATGCCTTCTCAGCTGTTCCACAACTTGCTGACCTAAGTGGCCAGAAATTTTGGGAAGTATCTCCAGAACTTTGGGACGAGGTAAAAGTTAAATATCTAGTATCATTTAACAGCACGAGATTTTACAGTAGAATCGTTTGTAGCATGAGATTTTTAACATCAGTCAACATCATTATAAAGTGACAAAGCATTTCACTTTTTACAAGTTTATTATTGTGTTTTATTAAAGTACCTCTTTAAAAATATTCTAAAAAAATTATTTGGTTCCCTGAATATAATACAATTTTTGCATTATTTACTAATATATCTAAGTAACCATTCGTAGCATGCTTATATTCCAGGTAAATAATGTTGGTTTGCGAAATAATTACTACTGTTGTTGCTACGCAGCTCGCATTATGGTCAGACGTTGTGCAGGACTTATTGTCAATATCAGTTCTGCAGGTGGTTTAGTTTATCTTTTTTCGGTACCTTATGGCGTTGGAAAAACGGCCAATGATCGTATGGCTTCTGATATGGCAATTGAGTTGCGTCGCTATGGCATAACTGTGGTTTCGATTTGGCCAGGACCTGTCAGGACTGAAGTATCTGTTTTATTCTTTTCAGATATAATTACTGAATTTCAAAAAATTAACGAAGTATACGGATCAAGTAAAACATATTAGGTGTTACTGACTGCAATACGAACAATTTAAGTAAAAAATTGATGCAGGCAAAAATAACAGAGTAAATCCAGCTTTTCGTTTTCGTTTCGTTTTCTGTTTTTTTTTTCATGTCCAAAAATCATTTACAAGTTTTGATTAAAAAAATAACCCCTTGCAAAAGGTGATTATATATATATATATATATATATATATATATATATATATATATA